AGAAGATTTGCCAGGTTAATTATGGTAAAACCAACACCTCTCCCCATAAACATAAAAGGGGAGAGCCAAGTAGGCTTTTTCTCTTCAATTTTGGCATTTTCAGAGAAGAGCATGTAAAAAGGTAAGCAGTAAATTCTAAAGATATTTTATTTTAAGTTCTGCTGTGTGAATGGGAACACATCAAAAATATAAAGTGGGTTTTGCCACTAAGGTGGAAATGCACTTCAAGGTTTATATTACTACTATCTGTATCCCCAATGGGAAAAGTGGGAAAAAAAAATCTTAGTGTAACCACCAGAATAGGTGGTGAACTAAATTTTGCAAAGATGATAAATATTCATCCAATGGTGATGCATATTACAATGAAAATGGTCTAAAGTGTGATTTCCCTTTACTTTAGAAGGATTTACTCTTTCTTCCTGCTATTTCTAAAGGAAAGGAGGTGAAGATAAATCTTCAAAATTGGGACCCAGTCTAGTAAAAATCTGACAAAGAACCTATCCCTTCCCCACTCTATTCAAAATTAGAAACCCTCAGGTATTAGGATCTCTAAAACAGGAAAAAAATACAATCTGAACTTTGATCCTCAAGTTGCCAAAGGGTGCATAAACATTATATATTTAAACAAAGAATACACGGACTATATATCTAAAAAAAAAAAAAAAAAGAAAAGGAAAAAGGTGCAAAAAGGGTACACATGCAGAATTTAGCCCTTCTGACCAATCTACCAATTTCTGACAGTTCTTCAGATAAAAGGAGGTCTTTGCTCATTCTAGTCAGTTCCACTGTTTACTTATGTACACATCATCTCATATAGTCTGTACTCTGTCCATAATCCCTAAAAATAAAGCAGGCAGAGAACAGGCAAAAAAGGCTGACTTCTGTGCAGATAAACAGCACTGGCTGGTCAGTATGAGAGACACACAGGGGTAGATTTACCAAATTTGGTGCATTCAGAATCTGGTGCAGCTGTACATGGTAGCCAATCAGCTTCTAATTTCAGCATGCTCAATTAGGATTTGGCAATAAAACTTGGAAGCTGATTGGTTTCTGTGCAGAGTTGTACAAGATTTTGTACTCTGCAGTTTTTAGTAAATAACCCTCATAATGTCATTTCATATGCTCAATGACAGTATGAATATTGTTTTCATGGCAGAAGGGACTTGATCCCAAAAAGCAAGGGCCCAGTTGTAGCTGTAACCTCAGAGATAACTGCTAGTATCCCATTATAAAGAATGTAAAAAGAATCATGAATAGCAATATGAAGTAGTTATTATAGGTTCCTCATGGATAATAAATATTTTGGGTAGTTTAGTATCAGTTGCAATTGCTTTTTCTATACAGCATTATCTGATGGATTCAGTTTCGGTCATAAGTAGTCTTTTTTAAATGAAAAGTAAATGCGAACTTTATTATTACCAGTTATTTGGGATTCTACCATAAAGAATTAATGATGCAGTCTCAAGGAGTACAAGACGACATGGGGCTACTTAATGAAATTGGAGGAGAAGCGGCTTAGCCCTAAACTGTAGGTGTTTTTCCACTGTCAGAGCAGTAGGGATGTGGAACACACTTACACAATCAGTAGTGTCAGCGGGAAGTATTGGGAGTGTCAAAAACTCTTAGATGGGCATCTTAGAGAACACAATATACAGGGATATGGGATATGATTTTTGACATGAACACAAACACAACCACACAGGTTGAACTGGATGGAATAGTGTCTTTATTCAACCTTACCAACTATGTAACTATGTATACCACTAACCAAAAGTCGTGCTGTAGGTGGTTACAAATACTATTAAGGAATGCTTGAACCCAATTTGTGACTCTTACCCTTACTGACTTTAGCCTGGAAACCTCCACAAGCCTCACTGTTGTATTTGTAAAGATTTGCCATTACACTCATACGGATCCAATTTTCTGTATCGAGCATAATTGGAAACTCCCCCACACGAGTAACCACATTCAGAGAGAGTACCAGGACAGTGTAACGGCTTCCTGTATACACATTTCATGGAATCACAATAGCAGGTCTAGTAAAGACTTTCCAACCAATCAGAAAAGACTGCACTTGTTCACTGTGGAAAAGGATTAGTTTATTTTAATTATTATCCCCATGCTCTTAATGGGAAGAAGATTCATCCTTATTTCATAATCTATACCCTACAGCGAAAGTAATAAAAACCATTAGCAGGAAATCAAGAAGCATTAAAATGTAAAATGTGTATCCAGGAATACAACCTGCTGAACTGTTACAATAAGGAATTTCATTTTGCCGGTCTGAGAATGAAAACTCCTGAACTGACACTTAGCGGTAATATTTTCTAGGTTTCCTATCTTGCCGTGTCAAAGCAATTTTAGATTCCTGTCAGCTCTGCTTAGTTTACTAAAGCCAATCTGCAAGAGTCAATGATAGATCCGAGGGCTTAAAAACTGGAAATCATTTAGAAGACAAATACATGTATCCACTCTTGCTGGTCTGTTAGGGAAGCCTTTTTGGTTTACATATGCTTTCATTTCCTGAGATCAGATACCCTGACACACTTAAAGTGACATATGTGGGAATGTCTTTACATCTGCATGTTAGGTGCATCATACTGGAGGGGCCAGATTTCTGCAAAGCCAATATCAGCTGTGGTCTGGGGTGGCACAGCTGCCAGGAACAGCACACAGCTACCCCATACATCATGTGGCCCAGTCCAGAGCACATTTACAATAACACAAATGGCAATGCAAAAAACAAACAAAAAAAAACAGTGGCGATAGGGTCACTTCCAAAGCCACCATTGTTCAGGATATGCGCTACAGTCAACCCTCTAGTTGCATTAGCTCATATTCACTGAATGCCACTTCCCTATGCCATGTATACTGGGTGTTTTGCAAATGTAGCACCCTTCCAGTTAGCCAGGGGGAGCCCTAGCTTCAATTGTTAGGCAGGGGCTAAGTAGCAGCCTAGGTGAAAAAGTCAGAGGGAGGTTAAATTTGAGTCAGAGCTGAGAGGCTCTGCAGACCAGCCCTCTGGAATTTACCCCTGCTTTAGAACTTTACAGAAAGGTCAAGAAGCAGTGGGTGGATCTGAGGAGTGGCTGGGACCTTGGAAGAAGGAAATCTCAAGACTTCACCACACACCCCTGAGAAAGGACCACCTGTGAGACAGGGAAAGAGCGTTCCAGCTAGAAGGCCTGGTAGCAGCTATCAACCCACCAGCAGCACAGGAAAAGGACTGAGTGAGTAAACCTGCACACTCTGGGCCAGATAGGGGAAGAAGGCACTCTAGTGTGAAAATGGATTAGGCTGCCACCCAGGACTGTTTCACGATATACATGGCAGACACTGGAACCCCTGTTTAGGGATTCCTCCAGGCAGACAATAATGGAGTATCTAGGGTCTGGGGTGGTACCACAGGAGATGCTGGCTAGCTCTCCAAAACAGACTGTTTGCTGTGACCACTTGTACATAGTTCAGGAAATTGTCCTCAGTTTCTCAGTTCCATTGGGCATCCCATACACCCCTTACCCTATCCAAGTTCCAAGCTGTGTAGTAAGGTAGGGGAAAGCTTCAGACAATAAGGGAATGTCAGATTTATCTGTCATAATGACGGGGCATTCAGCGATGACAGTAGGACTGTTCTAAATACACCTTCACGGGTTTATGCACATTATACCTTTATCCAATTTTTTCCAGTTACTGACAGTCTCTCTTTAATTTTCTTAACTGATCTGGTAACTTTAGGGCCTTGAATCATGTTTTAAGTCTTTATCATCAATTGCTTAGTATGCTTGCAGAACATTAACAATCACAACATATATCTCCCTGAAACACAAGGCACAAAGGGATAATGACAAAACTAATCAGAATTCATTTTGTTAAATCAAGCCAGTGCAATATGAATTTTGGCTGGTTGCCATGGGTACTGTATACCCATAGCACTTTTTTATTTTTACTGCACAGGAACATAAACTTATTATATATAACGTTCATTATATGTAACTTAACACATATATATATATATATATATATATATATATATAACTTTTTAAAGACTTGCATCCGAAACCAATAAAAGACAGAAAACAATTTGGTAACCAGGTGGCAAAATCTGGGTACAAATAGATATAAGACAAGACTGAATACCCATCAGCAAGTGCAAACATTACTAAAAGACAAAATACGTTACCGTAAGTATTTAGGCATGGAATCGAATATTCCATCTCCTGACACAACACTTCTGATTATGTTATGAGAAACAATACACCCCACAAGCATTAACAATCAGGACCAGATCACTCGTATCCATCTTGTTAATAAAGAATACATCCGAATCCCCTGAAGACGTCTGTCAGTTGAAACATGTTGGGCGTGGCTTGCATGTATGAGGTCATCGCATAGTTATGTTGGTGCGTGCGATTGCCAGCCGAGCTTAACGCTCTACATGCCGAAGCCATCAGCTTGCCACAATGCTTTTATGTAAGCAAAGTTTTTTTTATTTGTGTATTTTTATACGTGAATGGGAATTTAATTTTTAATAAAGAAGTCGTCTTTGAGAGTACTTCACCATGGATGCACTTTTGTTTTTTATCTGCTAATGCCATCTGTGATTGCAGTCACCGATCTGCTGTGGTGGAGCTGGGTGCATATAACATATATGCTAAGCGCATTATTACCATTTATAATTTTATGGTCCATCTGGTCTGGTAAGAGGTCCTTTCGTATTCTGGTGAAGTCTTAAATACTATTTGGCACATCATTCAGCACTAAAGAGGCAGAAATCACAACTGGCACTTTTACATTGTGGACTGGATTTCCTTTGGAGAAAAGGGATTTCAACTGGAACAATTGTTTTGGGATGATTCTTTGCATGGACACTTTTTGTATTTTTTATGATCTTGCTGTGTCATATGAATCATTGGTCACACATTTTTCACATAAGTGTATGTTGATTATGTATTGATTCTAACGCTGCTTTTTGTTTTAAATATTCATGTTAATGTTATCACCTTAGCATGATGTAGATCTACGCCATACATTGACAATTTTTTGGCATTTTCCAAGAAGTGCATTTCAGCTTCAGCAGGAGTCATTCCTCTGTAGACAAAAAAAATAGATAACATTTTATAGACAAATATGGTTTCTGCAGTGAAAGAAGTATGAAATGAAAATAATACATTAACAGCTCTATGCTTCAGAGCAAGGTTTTCAGATAAGAAAACAATATCTAGAATTTGTCAATCACATAAAATTAGACCAAAATGTTCTTGAGCATGTTCCTGCCTACATTAGCGTGAAAGTAGATTTTCAGGAAGATAAATGGATTATGTTCTTTTCAATGTAAACTTAGTCCACTACTTGGGCTACAGAAAGGACAAAACAGAACCTAAATAATTAAAATGTCAATACCACTTAATAAATAGATAAAAATATTAAAGTGGAATTGAACCCAAAAGCAAACATTTGTATATTGCAGCTTAATAATTGTTAGATAAGATAGCTGCATTAGTTTTCTTTTTCAGGCTTTCTTTCTATCATTGTCACCTGGTGTTCTGGCCAGTGAGTCTGTTGTTTTTCAAAAGAAAAGGCTGTGTTGTTTAGTCAGACCATTCAAAGACACAGGAGAACAATCTTCTGCTGACCAGTTCTTTAGCCAACTTCATATCTACAAAGCATGCAAATTTCCTCATCCAGGCATTGCACATGCAATCTGATGATCATGAGTGCAATGCATTACAGGCGGAAATGTATAAAAATAATAAATGCACCAGAATACAGTGCATACAATACAAATGTATCAGAATACAATTATCAGTGCATCTGGCTATAGCCGGTGGCACTGATTGATCAGGAAAAACCCAACAGGCTAGTATAGAAGTCACCAGGTAGATCGACTTTTGTACAACCAAGGTGCCCATACACAGATCGAAATTGGTTTGGCCCCTGCTGGAGCAGATGGATTTCAATTTACATATGGCCAGGCTTAACTTCTAGGAAGAGGCAATGGAACAAAAGTCCCAGCTTTAGAAGTAGAGGGTAAACAGAGCTCAAAATGACTGGAAAGCAGGCACCATTTCACTCTGCAATGTAGCCAAAAATCCTTCAAAATCATTCACATGCTTCCAGCTTTTAAGTACACTCATTACAAAAAAGGCTTTGTATGTGAGGAAGGCAAATTTACATTTACAAATACTGCAGAGCTTTTTTCATCTCTCCTCCCAGGGTGATCAATGTGGCAATCCTAAAGCTGGTTAGTATTAGCCTTCTTATCCTAGAATAACTAAGTCACCCTGTGCCACTGAAGTGATGTTGTGGTGATCCTAAACTGAGGCTTGGGTCACAGACCACTTCCCAAAGTAAGGCTAAAACACCAGAAGATACAGCCACCAGGAAAACACCACAGGCCAATCAGGTCCCCAGAGGGGAAATGAGGAGGACAGGGCTCACAAGCCAAAGTCTTCAGAGCTGTTCTCTGACAAGAACACAAAATCCCAGCAGACCTGCATCAAGAGGGGGGCTGCTAACCCAACAGCCATCTGGTCAAAACAACATTATGCTGCTCCTGGATGGTGACAAACCATTAAAACATGGGGCTCAGGGGGTTGAAGGGGTCTTTCATGGTTATGCATGTGTTTTCTGTAAAGAGAGGAACCAATAATCTCTTTCAGTCTGCTGTCTTTAAAGATTATTGATGAAAACCTTTGTTTGGAAATCCTATTGAAAAATTGCAGTTCAATTCCTGGTTTGTGAGGGTACCTAGGCATTCCTGGGTCTACAGCCTCATACAGTGAAGGAAATAGGTATTTGCATCCTTTGTTAGACATGCATTTCTTTTTAAATTTTTGTTGCTATTCTGTCTCTCAGTGTTACAATACACCTACCATTCGATTTTTAGACTGATCGTGTCTTTGTGAGTGGTCAAACATTCAAAATCAGGGGATGAAATACTTCTTTACTTCACTGTAGCTTTATATCTGCAGCGTGTCAAAACACTGGCTAAAACAAAACAAATCATCTATGGCCAGATTTAAACGAAAAAAATTCAAACAGATTCCTCCATCCATTAAAATGAAGCGGATGCAGGATCCCCTCAGGCACTATGTATTCAGATAGTTGGACTTGCCACTGTCAAAATGCAGTAGTCAGAAAAAAGCTTTCCACTATGTCTCTTCAATGGAAGACAATCAAACAATCAACTTCTTTCAAGCAGGAATGGCCAAACAGTGACCAAATTGTTGCCGGTCCCTGCTAAACCAGTAGAAATTCAGAATGTCTATGGCCAGCCTAAGGTGCTGATATCTCAGACCGCTTGACTTAAGAGATTTGGAAATGGCATTACTGTACTGCTCATTGTTCTCCTTCCTGGGGGACTATCCGGAGGACAAATACTGAATCATTTGTTTTGTTACAGTGTAAGAAACTTTTTTGTGCTTCTCCTTTCAGATAATTTTGCATGAACGGTCGTGATTGGCTCTTGAAAGCTGTGTACTAACAATCAGATTATTGGACGATTGCTTTGAAAGTGGTAATTTCCATACGATTTTCTCATTGCATGTAATAGGCATAAAATGTTAATGTTTAAAAGTCACATCAAATAGTCACGCAAAGCCAACCTTCACATTGGTTTCAGTTCACGTGAGACCTTGGGGAAAATATCTTAGTAATACATGTAATTTGCGATACTGTAGCCTAATGAATCAGGGCCTTTAAAAACAAATACATATATACAGTATAATTTGTCATAATGGTAATTTAAACAAAGCCAGAAAATCCACATTATGTGGCGTTCCTGGAAACAAAGCACATGAAAACCCAAATCTAGAGTCAGTTAAAAGACTTTTGTAATTCAATAAGCCACTTTACTTCAAAATATACAGTTTTCCAAAGGGAATTTCTCTAGCAAACAAAAGAAGCTATATTTTTAGCTGCTTATAGATCTAGAGTTGTTTGTCTTCTAATCAAAAAATCAATTAAGTTGCTTATTTTACATTCTACAGCATTGTGATCACAAAAAAGAAAGAAATTAAGAGTAAACTGAGGCTGCATAGCTTGTACATCAAGCCAAAATCTGCTTTTCTGTGGCTTCTATTCTTCTCTGCCATCTTTCATCTTCGTTACAAGACTGTTTTACCAACTCAAGTTAACACATTCTCAGCAAACAAGACGAATTTAAGCATGGTTTGTAACAAAAAGGTCATGTAAGGGCTAACAAGAGAGCGATAAACAGTGCTTTGAAGCATCAACTTTATCAAAGAGGTTTTTTTTTTCTGGCATTGGAAAATCTCTGTGACCAATCTTCAGCCAAAGGCATTGTGGAAAATAAAGCAAGCCTCATTAGTCAGGGAGAGGGCTGCATAGCTACCCCCCCCCCCAATATATAGCAGCTTTCCAGCCATTATAAGTGGTGTTTTTCCTTGTTCCCCTTTATTTTCACCTGGTATTCCTGCCAGTAACAAACTTCCTGCCCTTGGGTAAGAGCGCTCACTGACTGCATTGTATTTATGGAGCATCAGTGTTGTCACCCTAAGGCTGCTCTCCCGACTATTACATTGGGAGAAGAGGTTGTATAGTGCATAGAAGATAGCTTGAAAAGCTAACAGAATTGTCTCAGATTTTAATTCAAAGCACAGGATGTTACAAGGACACTCAATACCTATTAGGATCAGAATTCTGCACTTGCGGAAAATGTACTTAGCCTGGAAAAAGAGGAAACAAATGCTGCCACCACCACATCCAAGGGATAATAAAGTTGCAATATATAATCATTTTTGTTTAGGGATTCTTTAAAGTGTTACTAAACCCATGACCCTGCATTCACTATATCTGGTCTTCTACACAAAACATGGAAATGCAATTATTTTAGTAAATATAAACTGCCTTTTTTCATCAGCAGTATATAGCAGGCTTGTGACTTCTATCAGTGTCCAAGCACTGGTTAATCTTGTATACTGTCCTATGAGGCTGCATGACCCAGACCCTCTGTCTGGACAGTGCTGATTGGCCCTGTGCTGATCACATGCACCCTCCCATAATAAAAAAACAAAACTCTTTAGCAGTACACCCTAAACAGAGCATGTGCAGACTTGCCACTGCTGGTCTGTACTATCAGCAGATGGATTGGGGACAGTACAAGAAGGGGGGATCAGAGAAGACAGGATCAAAGCCTTTTTACACAATGCTGAGGATTAGCCCCTTAGGTTCCACAGGGAGTATAACAAGCATGTTTTACTGCATATACAGACTGATTTTACTGTTGTGGGTTTAGTAACTCTTTAAGATTCAAGCAAGTCCTGGCTGACATCTAATTTTGTGTGAGAGATCTGCCCATCCAAGGTCACCCATTATGAAGGTGATCTAGGGTCAAAATGTGATTATTATCGATGATTAAACTCAATGTAATTTTCAACAGTTTGTAATATTTTAGTTAGAGTGGCACAAAATGAGAATATGAATTACAAGAATAATAATAATAATAATAATAATGATGATACAGTTATTGAAAGAGGTACCAAATTTATATTTATCTCACCTATAACTTTTGTGCAGCTCAACTACTTTGTCCTCTAGTTCCTTTGTTTGGTTTGGTGCAAACCGGAATTCACTGACATAGTCGCTGCCATATTCATCAGGGTCATAGTCACCCAGTTCTGATTGTACAGTGTAGGATCCCAAGAGAGCCAATGTAACAAAGGAACAAGGGAGACGCCCTGATATAATGTCATCTCGTAGCTGCAAGCAGAGGTAATACCTATAGGAATACAAGTACATGGTAAACCAGAAAGAGGAACACACACACACACACACACACACACACACACACACACACACACACACACATTCAAAGTATTCTGAATAGAAGTTTGTTTAGGAATAGGAAAGATATGCTTTGCACCACATAGCAGCTAATCAGAAGTCAGTCATTTCACATTGTTAGTCACTGGTTTGAAGTTACAGCTCATTATTGTCATTTGCAGCATGTTATTACTGTTTAAATTATTTCAAAGGAGTTATCATACAGGAAATAACCAACCTTGACTTTATTTTATAAAAACATTTACATAAAAAGCACTCCAGTCTAATGTAACAAATATGGTTTTAAAAGGATTTACTGTTGAAATTTACATATAGTAAGTGTACATGGTCTTAAGACCATTAGACCAACAAAAATTTGATACCCATTTCTTGCAGTTACACACAGAGATACAGCACAAAGTAAGCTATTCCAGCAAAATGGATTGTAGTTTGTCAAAAATGATACAAAAACAATGGATTCTATATGGCAACTGCTTAAAGTGATTATAAATGCATTTATTAAATAAAATAAAGCGGTTTATACTTACATGCTCTATGCAATGGAATTGCACAGAGCTCCACCAAACTACCTTTTCTTGGGTCTCCTCATGCTTCTGGCTCCTCCTCTCCAGCAAGTGCCCCGATAGGAAGCAGCTTCCCTATGGGTGCACTCATATGGACTCACTCCCGAATCCCATGTCTATAGACACAGACAGTAGGGCTCGCCTACCCAGTCACTGGCTTTGATTGACAACAGCAAGAGCCAATGGCTCCCACTGCCTCAGCAAAGCCTTTGAGACCAAGAAGCGAGGGGAGAGAGACACTACACACAGGCACAGCACTGGAACAAATGAGGTCTCAGGTAAGGACGGGGGTGGGGATAGTACTACCCAAACATCTTTTACCTTAATGGAAGGAATGCATCAAGGTAAATATTTAGGCTTTATAACCACTTTCTTTTTCTGTTAAATCCCAATATGCTGGACAAATGATTAAAGCTATTAAAGCAAATACTGTCTAAATACAAGAGACATACTGTATGTGTGCTTACTCAAATCTTGGTGCACTTTGTGTATTTTTTTCTAGATCTTTGCAGTAATTCAGTGCAAAACATTTCTGTAGTGCAGGAGCTTCCTGTAATCAAGACCAGACAATGCTTCTCTCTCCTTTTATAGGCCACTGGTCTTGTATCCACCCCTCCTGTAGTTTTCTGCAGACAGCTTGTAGCGGGTGAGGCCTGCTGGGTCCCTCCCAGAGCTTCTTCTTTCTGCACAGACTTTGTACAGCACAGTGATGATGTTACCATTACCTATAATGGCCTCCCAGTCTTAGTCCGTAGGGTTCAATATTGAGTTGGTCTACCCTTTGCAGCTATAACAGCTTCATCTCTTCTGGGAAGGCTGTCCACAGGGTTTAGGAGAGTGTCTATGGGAATGTTTGATCATTCTTCCAGAAGCGCATTTGTGGGATCAGGCACTGATGGTCTACCACTTCGTGGCTGAGTTGCTGTTGTTTCCAGTTGCTTCCACTATGTTATAATACTACTAACAGTTGACCGTGGAATATTTAGTAGCAAGGAAATTTAACGGATGGACTTATTGCATAGGTGGAAACCTATCACGGCACCACGCTTGAATTCACTGAGTTCCTGAGAGGGACCCGTTCTTTCACAAGTGTTTGTAGAAACACGCCTGTGGCAATGGAGCTGATTGGAACACCTGAAGCCAATGATTTGGAGGGGTGTCCCAATACTTTTGGCTATATAGTGTATATATATTTGAAGGAAAGTTTCTGTGCCCTGAGTTCGGCTTAAAAATAAACACAGGAACAGGATTAGATGCTTGACCTGTCTTTAGCAACCTAGAGCCACCTTAGCAATAGAAGCTGAAGTAGGATTAGTTGCTATGGGTTACAATGCATCTTTTGCATACATTATAGTAAGTATTTTATCTATACCAAAAAGCTGTTTTTTCTAATCTCAACTATTACAAAAAACATTTCATAATCACATAATATCATATAATGGGATAAAGACATACATTTAATGGTTAATATGACCTTTATATTCTAGCAAATAATATTAACTCATGTCATGTCTTCAGTGCACATAAAATAGAAATTCATGCCTCTTAGACTATAATATAATGAAAATAATTAAGTCAGCCAAGATACATTTTTTTGCATAGTACATATAATCATTGGTTAAAAAGTCATTTGTCGTCATTGTCTGGATTTGCAAAATTAATCCATTAAGCAAAGCCAAAGATAATTAATGCATTATAAACAACAAAAGCTGAATTAGAAAGGATGAGCAGGAAAGGCTAATATAATGATGACAAGTATTAGTACTGGTACTCTTATTTTTAAAAAAGATACCCAAACTGTTTGGTAACCGATCTTGAATCATTTAAGCATTGCCAGCTTTTAACGTTTTATTTTTTTTTTCTGAAAAGTGCCATTTAATGGATAAATACAATTTGTGTGCTGTATTTTCCACAAGTCAATCGATTCCTCCATTAAAGTATCAGTTTACAATCTGGCAATAAAAGAGAGCAAACTAGCCAGACTTGGACAATTAAGATAAAAGTTGGGACTAGAAATTAGCCTGGGCTCCTCCAAACTCATCTGTATCCACACATTAAAACTGCACTTTTTTTACTCCAATCAGCTGTGGGCTGGGTCATTTCCTGAAACAAAAGCAAAAGAAGGCGCGCTGGCTTAATGCATTATCATAAGACCTTACAGTACATTAGTAAGACAAATCCAATCCATTCCAATGTACTCACAAAGGTACAGGATAAAGTTCATGTATAACAATCCAGTCCGACGCTGTAAATATGTCCATCCACTGGGATGCAGCTTACGCTTTTCAATATCAGTCAATATATGACAGGACAAAGTATGCCCCCAATACAAAGTGCCCACCTTTAAAAGGGGGAGGGGTTATGTTGAAAGAATCCACTCGATATGTATTAAAGTGGAACTTCACTCAACATTGATTATTTGTAATCATCATGCCGCTAGCATTAATAAATAGATAAGAAAGTATATCATATTTATTAATTTTAAACTTTTTCTTTTACATTTCTTCAGTTACTTCCTGGTTTCTTGCCTAGGCAAAGGATGTCATACATCTCTGGAGTCTTCAGGAGAGGAGGAGGAGTTTTCTCAGCTAAGCACACTCTCCTGCATGATACTAAGGGTAGATTGATTCCAGGAAGTAAATGCTACTTGAATCATTTGCCCTTACATAAGATGGCCAAGGCCAGAAATGCTAGGGGGTGTTTTTAAAAGTGATTTCTAAACAAAATAAAGCACGAAAACATTGATGGATGAGAGAGTTGGATTTGAATATGAAAAATATAATAAACCGTGTTTTTGTTTTGTGATGCTCAGATGCAGTGAAGAACCGCTCTAACCTCAGCAGGGACACTAACATCAACTAAATGGATTAAACTAACAGAGATGCAAAGAGGGAAAGTGGGCTCTTTGTACCATTATATATTGACTGCATTGTGGGGTTTTGGTCAGCTCTGATGGAGAGGGCACTGCCCTTGAAACACATAAGCTATCAGTGGATGGATGCTAATACTGCATTGGGACTGGATTGTGATACATGCACCTTATCCTGTACTTTTGTGAGTACATTGGAATTCGATATACTAATAAAAGGTCTTATGATAATGCATTAGGCTGCTGCGCCTTCTTATTTTGCTTTTGTTTCAGTTTGGTTTTCCCCCATCTGAAGTGGGCAGCAAGGCCGAAGTGGGCAGCAAGGCCGAAGTAGAGGCAAGGCCCTCTGTGGCGACTGTCTCATTTCTTTTTCCACACAAGAGAAAAGAGGAGCAGTTTTTGGGCTACTATTTGGACTTATGGTATTAGGGTCTCTCCACCTATAGCGCTGACAAGTGTGTAATATTTGGGTTATTTCCTGCTCCACAGCACATGTAAACAAAAGGGGATGGATGCTGGTAGTGTCACTTATCTGTTATGGACACATACCCATATGGAAAGATGTCTGCATAAGGTCACTAACATCACCAGCATCCCTCCCTTTTTGTTTACATATGATGTGGGATGGGGAATTCGCTGGGCCACAGCTAATTGGAAAAGGAAAAAAAAAAAAGAACAATTTTAATTTTCAGATAGATAAGGGTTTGGAGGATGACTGATGTCATCTCTAATTGGGACCCCCATACAGCTCTTCCCCGAGTACATTAAAAAAAACAAACAAAGTTGAATTAATTGGCCAGTCATTTGGCCTGCCTGGAGTCAGGAAACACATTGCAAGGCATACAAGAGCTAAAATGAACTTGAAAAAAAACAGTTTAAATCTGAACTGCAGGGAAGGAAAAATGCTCCCTTGCAACAGGGCTGCTCCCGCTCTGCAGAAGGTAACTATGCATTTAGGTCTAAAGGGCAGAAAACCAACCTTCCATTCCAGCAGGCTCCTTTAGGGTGTCAGACTAGTCCTCGCAGCCACTTTGCCCTTATGTTCTGGCAAGCGCTGGTCCTCTGCTGTCAAAAAGTCCAATATAGAGCCCATAATCCTGTATTACACATGAGAACTCTGAGGTACAGTCCGCTGCCAGAGCATACTGTATAGAGTAGAAGAGAGCACCAGCTACCAGGGGAGCAGAGAACTGGAAAGTAAAACTGCTTTTTGCAGCACAATGGATCAATGGTTAGCACTTCTGCATGGCAGTACTAAGGTCGTTGGTTCGAATCCCAACCACGGCTCCACCTGCCTGGAGTTTTCATGTTCTCCCTGTGCCTGTGTGAGTTTCCACGGGGTACTCCGGTTTCCGCCCACACTCCAAAGACATGCTGGTAGGTTAATTGGTTTCTGTCTAAATTGACCATAGTATGTATATGAGTCATGGACCTTAGACTGTACACCCCTTGAGGGTTAGGGACTTGTGAATGTAATATATATATATATATATATACACACACACACACACACACACACACACATATGTATACATACATACATATACGTGCGCGCGTAAAAGTGCTGCGTAAATGGGCGGCACTATTATTATTATTTCAGGTACTTCTGTCAATTTACGCAGCGCTTTACATACATATATTGTACATTCACATCAGTCCCTAACCCTCAAGGGGCGTACAATCTAAAGTCCCTAACTCACATTCATACATGCACGTACTAGGGACAATTTGGACAGGAGCCAGTTAACCTACCAGCATGTCTTTGGAGAGTGGAAGGAAACCGGAGTACCCGGAGGAAACCCACGTAGTCACAGGGGGAACATGCAATCTCCAGGCAGGTGGTGCCAGGGTTGGGATTCGAACCAGCGACCCTAGTACTGCCACTATACAAGTACCTCAAATAAATCCCCTAGACCTAAATGAGCATTTAAACCTTGAAGTGCTGGAGCCCGATTCCATTTCCTTCCCTTTAAAATGGCCTTTAAACAATTTTCTTGAAAACATATATTGTATAAAGTCTCATTTAAACATTCAACAGTAAAAAAACTGTATTAAATAAACACGAAATACTATGTTTGCTGGCTTGAAATACCTGGTTATATCTTCTGAAAGCTGAGAGGGGTCAGGTGGATAGAATTTAACATTAAAGGAAAACTGCCAAGATCCATCTGCAAAACAAACAAAAAAAAAAATACACAAAATTAAAGGAACCTTGCACTTTTTATAAAACTATAAAAGCCTGACACTGACTATTTAACAAGTCTTGTGACCATTTTACTGTCAGTGACAGAAGAAACAAAAGACACGGATGTCAGTAGACACGAGATTTCAGCAAGTATTAGCTCATTTGAGACCCAGCATGTTGCAAAATTACTTTCATCAGGACTGCAGCAGGAATACGCTGGAAGATGCAAGGTCATTATGTTGTACAGAGAAGCAGTAAAATCCAGATCTGAGTAAAAATAAAAGTGATGGGCGAGAATGCTGCTGGGAAGGATGCAGAGTGTGTAAGTTATTCAGGCAGATTTCAGCTACAGATCTAACACAAAAAAAAAAGAAAAAGTGCTGCAGTGGAATTATAACTGTGCCAATGCAGAGAGATAGGACAAAAGAGCAATGCATTATGGTGACACTCTTCAAACAGCATATATCATGAGAGAAGCAATAAATACAATGACCCAGATTTACTAAGGGAACTCATCATATTCACTTTCAAATTGAATTTCCACTTACCTTAGTGAATGTGGTGAAACAGTGAAAATTCCTTTTGCAAAGAATGTTCTTTGCAAAAAAAAAAAAAACAAACAAAAAAAACACCATACACAACAGGATATTTGTTCATGCATTTTATGATTTACGTAAACACATCTATTCTGCATTCATTAACTGTGGCTGCTTTCACATTGGTGCCAGTGCTTACCACCCTCTGAAAAGCAATCCATAATATAGCAACGATTGGCATGTGTTCAGGAGGCAATTTTGCCACCTCTTAAGAATCTGCTTTTATTCCAACACCAAAAGGGTATTCTGTAGTAGAATAAAAAACGTACCGCAACTGCTAGCCAATTATTTGGCTCTTAGTTGCGGTGCGCTCCCAGTGATCTCATTGAGTGTGTTGATAGGCTGTGTACCTATTAAATTCTACAGTTAAAAATGCAGCAGTCATGAAGCCAAGCAGCGTGTCTGGGTCATGTGCACAGCCCTGTCAGTCTGTAATGTTAGTCTTTAAGTGGACAGCTAGGTAAAGGGCTGTAAGACAGCAGCTCAGCCACCTATGTTTACTTCCTCTCAGCTGCCTGTGTGACAGAGACCCAAGTGAAATTTCACATTTCAAAGAAAAAATTGTGCTTGGAGAATCAGATATAGCTTTGCTTGGTTTTAATCATCCAATCATGTGCAAACAATCCTACTTTTAATTTGCATATTAGGAAGGGATTATGCTCTCCTTTAATAAATCCACCCATAATATATGAATACACACAAATAAACGCAAATGCATCTGATTACTGAGAGTGAACTATCTACTCCAACCGATTGCTGAGAGTCTGCATATTACTGTTGGCGCTATATACAACCTGTATAATAATAATAATATTAGTGGACTAGACTTGAGGATAGGTGTGAAGAGTGCTTACATATTTTCCTATAGACTCCAGCACTCACACATGTGCACTGCATTACCCTTCCCTAATCTATTCAAAATTACCTTTATATTCATCCTTTCAATGTCTTTGCTGATATACAAATAAATATGGCTTTAATGAAAATGCTAATGCTAAAAACAATGATACATAAAGCACAGGCGCCTACAGCAACCAGTCCAAACTCATTTCTACAACTGATCTTACTCTCACTTTTATTACTGCTCTCTCCTTGGCTGACTAAGCCTAATAATCTTCATGTTCTAATGAACTGTTCTGATTAGCCTGCAATTCTATACACTTCCTTGTCTAATGGACTTTCTATTTTCTACTGTAACTACAGATATCAATACTCATTCAAACTTTAAAATATACAATTGATCAGACAGGGATTTCATGCCCAAAATTTGCACAAAATACAACGTCTTTTTTTTTGCAGCTAAATATGTCAGGAAATGTTTTATGGTCCTTTTCCTGAAGATATAATAATTATAAATAAAAACTCAAGTGCTTACTATAGTGAATACAAACATATAAATAAATACGTTTGATAAGTGAAATACAAATGCTGTAGCCGCTAGTGCACACAACCCATGTCTCAGTGGGCTAAAAATGATAAAATAATATAAGTGAAAAAATGCTGCGCTACATATACAAAAATACAAAAGTCCTACAGAATAACTAAAAACCAAAAACACAGACCAGTGAAAAAAACAGAAAAAAAAAGAGATGTGACTCAAATGAATAATTAGAAAATTGCTGAATAATTATTAAACAAAGTCCAATCAATTAAATGTTCTTCTGTGAACCTCCCTTGAGATAATGACCACCGTGTGCAACTGTCACAGAACTCCAGTGCAAAACATCCTCCACCAAAAATCTGCTCACCTCCAGCAGTGTGACCTCACATTTTACAATGTTTTGGTCTAACTGCACTTCTTTTGGTCCCAAATATACGGACTCTGTAGATCAACTTGCTGAATAATGGCTCCCAGGATGCCCCCTCCAGATAACCGCCTAAATTCCGTATTCCGTAATCTTTTTTGGTAAAAACTTGAAAACAGAGTTTTTATTTCTCTGTACTTCTCAGCTCGTGCCTCGCACCCCAACCAATGCAGACACGTGGGCCGGACGGGAAGTGGTTAATAATTATTCAACAATTTTCTAATTATTATTCGTTTGAGTCACAATCTCTGTTTTTTTTATTTTTCTGTTTATTTCACTGGTTTGTGTTTTTGGTTTTTAGTTATTCTATAGGAATTTTGTATATTTACACAGCATTTTTTCACTTATATTATTTCATGAAGATATAATGTTGTAAATTTGATGATTAAGCCCAAATACAGACAAACGGTTAGCGCCTCTAAGGATTTTATTATAGCCTGTGTTGATATTTCCCTCTGCTCAGGACAGGAAGTCATGGGAGGCGTCTCCTATAAGGACTCCATCAACTTCTGAATCCCCCCTCCAAATTCTTACCAATTCTGGTGAGGTCGTCAGAAGGACAAGGAGGACCCATTTAAGGTTTATTTTTCTTTTCATTGTGTTGCTGGTCTCAAGTAACATGCGCTGCAGTAGTGCACCAAAACCCAAATGCATTGCAATTTTCTGGTTAGGTATGTTGGGGTGGCATTAAAAATGATTGATACTGCAACTTGCCATATGTTGCACACAAATGTGAGCAGAGCCAAAGTGAGGTCAAATCTCTCCAATTGGGTCACAGACATTATAGATATAAAATCTAGAAACGTTAACTATCGCTATAATCTGTCTGGAAAAAAAGAGATGAGGCCCTCAGCAAATATTTATTTGACCAAATTTGGGCTGCTGTGTCATTTGGGTTTAACAATCCTGGTACACAGTACTAGTAGAAGCTGAAGATAATTAGTAGTGTAATAAAAGAGCAATGACACAGAGTTCAGAAATGATAAATGCACAGTGCCTACTGACAAGTACAGCTGGGCATCTATCACATTAGGATTCCAAATGTATCCAGTGTTACAACTCACTTGTTCTGAATAACAGACTCACATAACACTGTAATTTTTAAAACATGAGAAGTACAAATAACATTTAAATGTCCCGTTTTTAAATTGAGACCCAGAACTAAAAAAAAGGCACTTGATCATAGGAACACCAATAAACCTCTAGTTAGGCCTGTTAAAAGTATAACTTTAGGCAAACATCTTTTTTGATACATTTAGATATACTGGTACTGGTTAAAGGGATTCATTCTCTCCAATTGTCCTGATCATCAGTGTCACCAGGAATGAAAATGTGGGAAAGTTAAAAAGTTTGAGTTGCTACTAGAACAGGTATAGGGGGGAATCTTCCATAAGGGACACTTGTTTAACCGTCCAGGGGGGGATTTACCTAGCATTGGAAAGATATCCTCTCCTTTCCTGTTGCATTTACTAGACAGTAAGTTAAAAGTAATCCCTATAATGAGAAATGGAAAGAAACATCTGTTTTAACCCTGTCCTGCCCTACCCTATCCAAAATGAAAAAGGAAAGTTATGGTTATATATATTTAAGCTATAGGTGGCATTGCCTGTGGGATACTTATTCTTGGGCACAACACTGCTTCTTGCTACCACTGCTTTTGAAGAGCAAAAATAAAATGTTTTACCAGAGTACAGACAAGCTGCAGAGGGTGGATGCCCTCTCCTCTTACTAATGTTCTCCAGGACTCTGTAGGGCTATATAGTAAAACTTTTCATTTGTTTTGCTAAGCTGAACATGGTGATCACTTGCCCGTGGCACTTCACTTCCACTGCAATAGCCAAAGATCCATTATCTCCTGCGCTCAAAGACTCAGATTAAACAGGTGTTAGTGACAAGCAGCGTGTTGTGTATTCATCCGCTGGTGATCAGAGGTTGTGCAGCTCTATCATGAAGCTGGGGAAGCTTGATAAAACTGTAGAAGATGATGAAAGAAAGAGCGCAAAAACCTTGCGCATTACTTCAATAAATAGTGACTAATTTTATTATTAAGGAAATATACTCACAAAGTGATGGTGTAACAGGCATAAGTAACCATAATCCAAACAGGGTTACAGGTAAATTGAAAGGGGGGGGGGATGAAGGCTAACACATTTCGAAGGGTGCTCCCTCTTCTTCATCAGAGCTGGGTTGAGCAGATAGAGACTTCAGTATGGCAGAGTTCCCATGGCAAGGAGATATTCAGCCACTGAGTGTCAGTATTACAGCAGTTCAGCCTGTTAAGTCTCTATCTGCTCAACCCAGCTCTGATGAAGAAGGGTGCACCCTTCGAAATGCGTTATACTTCATCCCCCCCCCCCCCTTTTCGATTTACCTGTAACCCTGTTTGGATTATGGTTACTTATGCCTGTTATACCATCACTTTGTGAGTATATTTCCTTAATAATAAAATTAGTCACTATTTATTGAGGTAATGCACAAGGTTTGTGCACTCTTTCTTTCATCTTCTTCCACTGCAATAGCCAACCAGACACATTCAGGCTAACAAATAAGACTATGACTGCACTGCATTTTTACTGAAGAGGCGATTAGAAAAGGCAAATCATCCATTCTGCAAAGCAAGAGGTTCATATTCTGGCCAAGAAGATTTTATTGCTGAATAGTCATGTAAATTCCACTCTTGTAGCATGGCATATCAGATAACATTCTCTATTACAGCACGGCACACCTAATAAGATTCTCTTTAGGAGTAAGATGCGTCCAATAAGGTCTCATTCTATAGTATGGCAAATCTGGTAATATCTTCTCATGTAGCGCACCAAAAAACTCTCCTGTAGTGTGGCACATCTGCTAAAATATCATACCATTAGCACCTGTTTACAAGTTCTCTCTTACAGTACAGCTCACCTAGTATTAACACTCATTTAGTGTGACACATCCGGTAACATCCCTTTTGTATCTAGGCACATTTGCCATCATTCTTCTAGTTTAGCAAATCTGGTAACATTGCTCTTGACATGCAGCACAGTATGTGACATACAGTACCGTGTAAAGGTTTTCATTTGCATGCATAATTGAGTCACTTAGCCTTGTTTCCACGTACTAAGAACATGGGCACTAGATTTCAGAAAAATGGCAGCAGGTGCTCTGGACTGATTAATTAAATTTGAAATATTTGGTTGTAGCAGGAAGCAGTTTGTTCACGGAAGGGCTGGAGAATGGTGCAATAATGAGTGTCTGCAGGCATGTGAATCATGGTGGAGGTTCCTTGCAATTTTGGGGCTGCAGATTTAGTCAAAGTCACTGGTGTCCTCAATGCTGAGAAATACAGGCAGATACTTATCTATCATGCCATAGCATCAGGGAGGCCAGCAATTGGCCCAAAATATATTCTGCAGCAAGACAATGACTCTAAACAAACAGCCAATTTCATTAAAGTTGAGCTCCACCCAAAAGGAGATGTTCCACTTTAACGACTCGTCCCCTGTTCCCCATTAGGGATTGGCCCCTTGGGGGAGTGGGTACCTGATTTTGACAGGTACCCGCTCCCATTTCTGCTCTGACCACCTAGGCGATCAGAAGCGGAAGTTTTTCTCCCCCTGCAGTCTTCTGGGACACGTGACAGGTCCCAGAAAACTGAGGAACCATTCACCATGTGCAATGCTACACATGTATGTGTAGTGGGTACCCAGAGACTAAAGTTCTGCTTTAAGAACTATCTTCAACACACAGAAGAACAAGGAGTCCTGGATGGTTTGGTCTCCAAAGAGCCCTGATCTCAACATCATCAAGTCTGTCTGGGATTACATAAAGAAACAGAAGGATTTGAGGCAGCCTACATCCACAGAAGATATGTGGTTAGTTCTCCAAGAAGTTTGATACAACCTACCTGCAGAGTTCCTTAAAAAAACTGTGTGCACGTGTACCTAGAAAAATTGAAGAACTGATGCCATTTAAGGCAAGGAGTGGTCACTCCAAATATTGATTTGATTTGGATTTCTCTTTTGTTCATTTACTTTCCATTTTGTACATTGATAACAAATTATTAACACTTCCATTTGTGAAAACTTGTTTATTTTACAGCATTTTTTCACACCTGCCTAAAACGTTTGCACAGTACTGTACGCTCATGACACATCTGGATCAAGTTCTTTCTTTTAGTGTGGCACACTCTATGCCAGCCCCTCTTGCAGTGGCAACACACATCTGGTAACACTACTCTCATACTGTGGCATATTTAGCAACAAGCTCTCTTGCAATTTGGTAAACCACTTCCCTTTTGTGTGATGTATCTGGTACTATCACATCCTTGAAAATGTGTCTCCTCAGCTAACAAGAGGATTGTGGCAACATGGTACATTTGATTCTTGTAGCTTAACACTAATTGCATATAAAGTAGGCTTTTTTTAGCTGAGCACTTTTTGCCTATTTCAGTACAAATGAGTTGATGTAGCAAGAGACCTTGTTCATGGGAAGGACCAAGGTGTCAGAGGGTACAACATCCTAAGCTATAAACCCATCCTTGGACAAGGCTGATCACACTTCTGGTCAAGAAAACTCTATTATTGCAGTGTTTGGCCTGCTGCATATTGTCAGGTGTGTGTAGTCACCCTTAAAACAAACCCAATTTCTTTTATTTCTGCCTAGCTTAACAATCCACTCAATACTATTCATCAGTGTTATCGAAGGCAAGCCTTGTAGCATGCATTAGGTAATACTCTCAATCACAAAGTAATGAAAAAACACTGATATAATTAAAGCTGAACAACAAATGTCATATTTAGTCTTGAAGAAAAAAGTAAAAAATAAATAAATATAAAATTATATATATTTATATATATACAAAAATAAATAAAGCTTACTTCGTGTTTGTTTCTTGATTTCTTTAGCAGGGTCCAACCAGTTCTAGAAAAAGGGGCAAAACAATAATTAGTCACAGTTATTGTAACAAACAAACATTACAGAACAAACTCCCCGCTCTTAAATTCTAATAATTTAATGATAGGGTGATTTCTGATATCCACAGAATCCAATCAATACAAGATGTGCTGTTACACTAAAGTAACAGACGCATATCTGTGGTACTCTGGAATGATTCCAAGACCTGAAACTAGGTAAGCTGTCTGTCATATGTTAAAAAAATGATCAGTCAAAAAAAAGTGCCATTAGGGTCCATTCATAACAGCCGTTGTGTTATAATGCAGAGGCTGGCGTGTGCTGTGGATGCTCCAATCATGGGACATCGCATTGTTAACTCTTTTTTTTTCAATAACTTAATTGAAATGTCACAGAAGTTCTATCAGCCAGCGTACATTGACTGCGCTGCACTGGAAGGAAAAAAAAAAGGGAGTACTGCACGCAGTACTTTTTTTTTTTCAGCGCACACCACTGCAGCAGTGGAGTGAACCAGCCACACCAGAGACAAGGCAGTTTGCCTTGTCTTGTGGTGGGACTGCACTAAAATAGCTGCCCAACACAGTCCCACAACACCTGCTGTAAATCAGCTATTAAATGGTAATAATATTTCTCAGTGGGTTGAAACAAAGTGATAACACCACTTCAGACTGTTGGTATCTTCTTCTCATATTTAAAATTCGGTGCCTATTCTGCTATTGAAATCCCCAAGAGGGAACATCACTCTCCTACTCTAACATTCTGAAACTTTTAAAACAGTAAATCACAGTGCAGTTTTACTTGGTATATGTTCAGTGATACTAAATGCTCGTTTTTTTTTCTAATAAACAAACATGTTATACTCACCTGCTGTTAAATGGTTTTGCACAGAGCAGCAACAATCCTCCCTTGTTAGGTCCCCCGCTGGCGCTCTTGGTTCCTCCCCCCTGAGCAGTATCCCCATAGCTAGTCACTTGCTATGGGGGCACTGGTGTGTGCTTGCTCCAGAGCCCTGGCCTCTGGATCCCTAAGACACAGCAGAGCGTGGCTTGGCCTCGCCCATGCTCCCTCCTCACTGGCTGTGATGGACGGCATTGAGAGCCAATGAATCCTTTTGCTGTGTCTCAGCAAATGAGGAGGGAGATACCTGGGAGAGCCGGGGCTCCCATGCACATCACTGGACTGAGATCGGTCTCATGTAAGAAATAGGGAGGGTTGAGTGAGCTGCTGCACATTGAAGGTTTTTTAACTTCATTCATTGAATGCATGAAGGTAAACAAAACCCTTCAAGCTTTAGAACCACAGTCAGAATTCTTACGTCCTGATAAAGGGGGAGTGTTTTTGGCCCCCAAAATGAGCTGGATCAATTCTGCTATGAATCAATCTTTTCATTAAATTACCTTGGACTTGTGGATGTTTGTCTGGCACTTTCATTGGATTGTATTTGTTTGGATTCTCAACTCTAGGTCTTCTCCCTTTTTTCCTGAAGGTGGTCCCTGTTTTGTGCAGTGCTGACAATCTGGAACCGCTTTGCTCAGAGACAATTTCACTGACCCTTAAAAAATCCATTTGTTCTTGTGTTGGTTTTAAAACAAAGTGATTACAACAGGTCTGAATGACAAATGGATTTTTATAGTTCTATGAAGTTAGCCTGCCGTTTTTATACAGCAAACTGAATGGAACTACATTTGGCATAAACGAGTGCTTAGTTTTTACCATGTTGATCTACAGAATTAGTTCAAGAAGAATCTTTGAACAGGAAGGCTAGAAGAGGATTCTAGAAGAAATCCTCCAGCAAAATATACAAATTCTTCATGATGAGATGCCCTTTAAATATATATTTGCATAACAAAAGATTTAGCTCGACAGGAAGCCATCTAAATTCATTTTGCTTGTTTTCCACAGAATCATTGTAGCAGAAGGCAGTAAATGTCTCAGTAACAAGATAACCATACTGAAAGTGAAAACCTCTAAAGAATGTTTTGTCCTTCTAAAATGAGTTTGTCAAAAGAAAATTCCAATTTATTGGTTCATACATATGTAAATGCAATTAGTAACAAGGTGTTCTCACTATGTGAATGAATACCAAATATCATCTTGAACGTTTGAGTACCTTGCAGAGACGGAGCAACAAAGGCCAGCTTATAATTATTTCACAATTATGTATGCACCTGCTAGCTGTTACAGCTCGCCTTAGGCTCTGCTCTTTTCTCATGGCTTACAGAATATGAAAGGTACATGTCCAGAGTACAGATTGAGGGCACTTTCTCAAATCGGCAGAAGCTAAAAATTCTAAACTAATTAAATTGGATATTTCAATCTCAGAAATCTGAAAATACATCAACATTTAATGGAGCCGGAAACATGTAAAGCCAGGTTGCACCAACCGATTTTAGGCTCAAGCATAAGGTGATCCCATTTTTATCAGATAAAACAATACTTTTTATGGCCTAAAAAAGGGTGACTGATATTTGGCACTCCCGTGTAACTTCTGGAATAGGGATGGGCAAATAATTTGTACAGTGACTACATACAGTATGCAGAAGCAGTATGACTAATAATAATTCAACTAAATTATTTCTTTTGCACTTTGGACACAAATCACAGTAAAAAAGGTAAATGTGCTGCATTTTAGAATGCCAATTTGCTAAGGCAGGCCATAGACAAGTCGAATGAGAAAAAAAATTGTTTATTTTTTCATACGATTGAACTATCATTGTTTCAAAATTTGCCCTCTGCAGAAGAGATGTATTTTGACCTCATCCATCCCCCTACTGTACACTCCCTCTGTACTTTCCTCTTGTCTATTTAAATCAAAGCGAATGAACAAATACATTTTTTTTTAGTATACTCCACTTGCAGACACTATGGCTAGGGATGCACTGATACCGATTTTTGATCGGCAAGTATGAGTGCCGATAAGTACTTGCTGGTACCGAGTACCAACACTTTGTGGTATGATTTGCATCCATACAAAATATATAGACACAAACTGCCCTGCAAAGAATAGCATGCGATTTGAACAGGAATGCTATTTCTGTCCAAATCGCATGCTGTTTCTCCACAGCTTCTTATAGCCTGAGTTCACACAGGAGTGGTATGGGAAACCTCCCTGCACCGATCCCATGCTGAGCGGAGAGTGGATTTTGTATTTACGCGACTCGCACTGCAAAATATCGGTTTCCAGTACAGGGACCTTTTTCCTGAGTACAAGTACTCCTGAAAATACTCAGTATCAGCACCATTATTAATATCAGTGCATCCCTATCTATGGCATTTTATGTACTAGCCTTATGTTAGCAAACAATATTTCCTGGTGCTGGGAGTGCATTAAAACATAAGGCATCAAACCATTTTCAATCAAGGAAACATTTTCTGTATTCCCCTCTACCTGCAGACACAGAGGGGGAGATTTACTAAAACTGGAACACTCAGAATCCGGCTACCATGCACAGCTGCACCAATCAGCTTCTAACTTCAGCTTGTTCAATAAAGCTTTGACAATACAACCTGGAAGCGGATTGGTCTCTATACAGAGGTGCACCAGATTTTGCACACTCCAGTTTTAGTAAATCTCCTTCATAGCTCGTTCTTGTTCCCTGCTATTCATACATATTTAATGTTACGAATGAAAGAACTTTGACAGTGAACGTTCTTTTCCTTCTGGTTCATACTTTCCTAGCTTATGAGCATGTCATTTTTATTTTATTTTTTTCATACAATTCCTCCACCAACAATTAGAAGTTTTTTTTTTTTAAACTCCAACATGTTGGATCAGGCACTTTTGGTTGCAGAATAAAAATGGTGTGTGCTGCAGGCACACTAATGATGCAAAAACTGACCTATTGACAATAATTTTGGTTTGGTTTCCTACGCATCTATAGCCTGCCTAAGTGAGGTCTAATTATTGGCCAATCTAACCAATAACAGTCCTATGCATAAACCAAGTCTACCCAAAATTATTGTTTGCATTATGCTTACTTGCAATCTAAATCATATCCTGGATTCTTATTCCTGAAGTGGGTTCCAGTGATGAGAATTAGGAAACCTTAGTTTCTTTATCTCACCAAGTGTTACAGTTGTTACAAAGCCAAATTATCATTTTTTGCTCCACTAATGAATTTCCCTTAATGGAGAATAAACCTATAATGGAAGACTCCAGCTGCCAGAGTAACCGCTTCATAAATTGTGAAAAGGGGCATAGAGACTACATTTTACTAGTACAGTTATCAATAGTTATTAGAGACTAAAGGGTAATATAAACCACCAGTACCCAAAGGCAGATATAATATCAACTTTGAGCATCTATGCCTTGATTTGCTACCAAACGACCCATGTGTTTCACAAGTTTTTAAGCAGACTTAGAAACCTGCATTGTGCAACATGTTGGTAGACAACATCTCATCCTTCACATAGGCAGATACTGCAGAATGATCCTGTGATGTGTGTGTGTCTGTTCCATTGTGGAGCTCCTCAGGTGGTCTTTCTAGATGTCATGAAAATTGAGTTACTCTTGTTCCTCACACTACAGCAGAAATTGCCCAAACTTCTTGCACAGTAGATGGGCATTACTGATAAACTCGCTATTACTGCTGAGACTGCTAGCACAGTATAAAATGAGCAGGCAGGTTGACAGTTTAAATTCCCACCAACAGCAACACCAAACTTGCAGGCTGTGTCTCGGCTGGGTAATGAAGTCCAGCTGACAAGAGAAAAGATCATATCATACTTCCAGCAGGGTAAGTCTTTTCCCAACATAAACAGCTGACTGGCTGCAAATGTCAGGGCAATGAGACGGGTGCCCTCATTTTCAGGATAACTCTAGGTACAATTACAGGTAAAGTAAGTTTTTATAGCTATGTCATATCAGTTAAATAGAGGAAAGGTGCAGGAAATATGGAGGAATTAGCACTTGGAATAAGAATTGTATATGAAATATTGAAAAATGATGGTGCTGCCATTCAAGAACAAACTAAGACTTAAAGCAGAAATCCATGAATAATGTGACATACCAGCAGGGGAGGACTGAAAACTCATGGGGCCCCCGGGCAATAAGGGATCATGGGGCCCCTGTGTCCTTGCCCAAACTCAAAAAAGCCTATGAAAAAGGTACCAGGGGCATCTGATGGGGCCCCCTACTGACCCCGGGCAGTGCCCGAGTTTCCAAATGGTCAGTCCACCCCTGCATACCAGACTTACTGTGGACCAGCCTGGTAAAGACTGATCCTGCACATGCAATAACTGTATGGTCACTGAGGATGCTGCAATCCACTGTAGTAGCATTCACTACATACAGTAAGCAGTGTCCTTTTGCAGAGAGGTAGGAGTGACTTCCCTCTGCTTCCAGAAACAGAATCAGGTGCTACTGTCCCCCCCACTACTCAGGAACATTCAGACTCTGATTGGCAGAAGTGGAGAAGATGGACAATTGACATCAGATGACATCACAATCTCTATCTCAAAGAGACCACCTAGTATTCACTGACAAAAAATACAACATGGTTCCTAAGTGGCAGAGGGACAGAGCACCTGACTCTCATAAGTTTTTGGCAGCAGAAGAGAGTCACTTTTACCTCTCCAGGAAATGACAACTTACTGTATATAGCAAATGTTACTACAGTGGATTGTGGCATCACCAGCGGCCATACAGTTACTGCATGTGTAGGATGAGTTTTTACCAGGCTGGCCCACAGTAAGTCTGTTAGGTCACATTATTCTCAGAGTTCCCTATTTTTCTTTTCTAGTGCAAGTCAAAAATGAAAGCTGGAATCATTGGTTGCTATGAATATCAATTCAGGTTTTTTTGGTTGGTGGTTTTTAAGCAGATGTCTTAGAGATCGACCCAAGAACTGTGTTCACCTCATTTGATGATACAAAGATTGTGCAATTTTTTTTGTCTAGTTGCTTCTGAATATAAAATGCCCCTAAGTATGCCCAACATTAGGCTTCAGACATGGTGACAGAACACTTTCAAAGCAGAACTATCAATAATTATTTTATTTTAGTTTTGGACAGAGTAGGAAAGGTTACAAATTATATCATCTTCCTATGCAAAGAAACAAACAGCAGGGCTGTGTAAAATAAAAACATTTTAATATGTAGCACACTGAGCCCTGGGAAACTTGTAGCCAACTCAGTGGCCGATATGGATAGTGCACAACAACCAGAAGCAGTCTAGATCAGTGGTCTCCAAACTGAGGCCCGAGAGACGGATTTGGCTCTTTGCTTGCTTTTATCCAGACCTCGGGGCACTAATTCATCCACTGATACCAACAATGGGGCATAATTCCCTACACGGACACCAATGAAGGGGCACCCAATGACACCAACAATGGGGCACAATGACACCAATGGTGGGACAGAATTCCTCCTGACACTACTGATGGGGCGCCATTCCTCTCACTGACATCAGGACCTTTTCTACTCCCAATGGCCAGTCCAACCCTCCTAAAGTCTGAAGGACAGTAAACTGGCCCTTTGTTTAGAAAATTTGGATACCTCTGATCTAGATGAACATCTTATCAGCTGCAAGGCACAGGCAAGGACATGCTGAAAGATGGAAGACTGGCGGCATCTGCAGTCCTCAATCACACCACTGGCAGAAGGAGCAGTGATAGACAAGTGGAAGCCGGCCTCTACATGTTTCTGAGGCCCTGCCTCCTTTTTCAAGCTGCCTTAAAAGTTTCCCAGATGTATGTGTGCTACATAAATAAAGTGTTGTTTTTATTCTACACTAATCTGGCACCCTGTTTTGCAGGCCATAGGGTCGTGAAAAACAGCCGACAAGCTGGCCTCACTAGCGGTGTGAATATCGGCCGATTTTTTTGTGCGGATGAAAATTCGGCCGATATTCACACCGTTTAGTGGGGCCAGCTTGTCGGCTTTTTTTTCACGGATCTTCTCATTTATTTTTATCGGTCATGCTGAAAAATCACAAAAAACGGCCATTTTTCGTGGACATTGGTGGCAGCATCGGCAACGGGGCCGTCCGATTTTTCGTTTATCGGCCGACAATTCGGACGATAAACAGCCCGTCTATGGCCTGCCTTTGTTTCCTTTGCATGTCCATGAGGGATCCTTACCAGGTCTACCTGCCTGGATCTGCCGGATTGTGTGCATTCATTTATTCATTCAGTTTCCCATTTACCATGGACTTTATAGACTGTTCCCTTTCCACTGTGCCTTAGAGCGCTGGTTGTTCTTGTATGTTATACAAGTTTTATATTTATCATCTTTCTATTGCTGTGACGGTTGAGATTTTAGCTTCCTGTGCTAGGTGGTATCAGTATATGGGATAAAAAGCTGTGGTAAACCTCCATGGTGGGAGACAGACAGAATAAAAATAGATTCTAACACTTGCTCATTTTAATAAAGTTTTTATTTACAGTCTGTGTTAATTTTCCCACATATTCCAGTAACCAGGAAAGTTTTTGATTGGTGTAGAGAGCTACAGTGTAGCATATGACGGTAGTACACCAAATCAATCAACAGATCTATATACAGTGTATGTGTGTATATATTTGTGTGGGTTCCCGTACACATACACTTATTGCTTGCTTATTCAGGCTTGACTTCCTGCTCAGCAGTGCTGCAAAAAGATTGCACATTGCAATTTCACTCTTTCAGTGAACGTCTGACAGTCTGCTTCAATGGGTAGAAAGTGTAGACTATGATTACTTATCCAATCTTACAGTATTTTAACAGAGTTGTTGATTGTACTACCTAATAAAAACAGAAAGCAACTAGAAATGTATATAAAATACAATGATCAAAACATGAGGCATCAACATATGAGAGTGTAAAAATGACTTTCTGGTCAATATTACAGTAAAAACTCGAAATATCTACTCACTATACATGAGTTACAGACCCCTTTAATAATAACTGCCATCACAATGTGATCCACTATATTTAAAAGTTATGTGAACTTTCAACAATAATGGTGAAAAGACTAGCAGACTAGTTTCCATAATGATCCTAATGATATCTAATATGCAAGAGTAATTGCACCTGATAATTATACCTAATAATATACTCACATAAAAAGTGTAATTAGTGTATTCAGTATAACAGGAAATAGCCGGAATACACAATATAAATTGTGTAACTATTATACTTCTTACATGGCTGTTTTATTGGTTATATTATCATTCCAAATTCCTTTCACCCTGGGTTAGCTTACAGATGCATTTACCCTGTCATTTTGTTAAGTAGGGAAAAAGGTACAGGGTCTAGAAGGATTTATTCAGAGGGAGGGTAGGTGGTGTTTCCATTCCGACTTCCAGGCTACTGCTACACCTACACTTTGCTAAAAGTTGGACTCCAAAAAAAATAAAAAGTAATTAATTTTGCTTGATCCAGATAAGTTAATCTCTAATGTTTTAAAACTAGGTCTGGATGGTGGACAAGTGCTATTTTTATTCATGCCATATATATTACTGTCAGCCATGAGCTACCAGTCGATACTTACAGCTAGTGTACAGTGCAGTGGACAAGTCACGTGCTCTCCCTGATCCATTCACTGAAAGCCTTGTATTTTTTTCACTGTATACAAGTCATTCTGGGAAATTCTGTAATTTACTTGCCCTTCCTGTCCCCTTGTCTATTAAAGTAGGCCCATTATTAGTGAACTATAAATGCTGCCATTGCTGACCCTCTTCAGGTGATGCAGACTGAGATGTTAACGTGAAGCAATGAGTAATAAGGGCTTAAATTATCTTTCCTGGGAAAAATGCTGCACCTGCAATGCTGCCAAACAACCAAAAAGCCTTTGTTTCAATCACATGAACTCTGCTGATGGGGAGTAAGACCATAACTACTGCCCTATACCAGTGATCACCAAATATTTAGGGTTCTGGTTAAGTGGGCAGCACGGTACAGAAATACATCTACTTTTTTAAATGATGGCTTCAACTTCTCCAGCTATCTTCAGTGGACTAAAAAACATCTTCCCATGTAATAGAAATAAGAGGAGGAGGTGCTTCTCCACAGATGCACTACGAGTGAGTGTTGTCATGCCAGGACAGAATGCAAAAAAGGGGAAAAAAAAGCTTAAAAAAGGAAACTAGTGCAGCCACCTCAACTAAGGACTGATAAGCTACAAAAAAATAATGACAGAGGGTCAGTATTAAAACCAGCATTTTTAGGAGAACTTTATTTTACCATTTGTTTCACACTTGATAATGAAAAGCCTTAATGGATTCCCTTGAATCTGTAAAAAGGTTACCTTTTGATTTTCAGAGTCTCTGTATACTAAACCGAAGTAATCTTTTTCCAGCAGGTTTTAAATGTTCACACACTTTATCAAAGAGAACTTGACCTTTCGAACGCTTCTGCAAAGAAAAAGAAAATGTTACTTAACATGCTATACCTGAAACAGAAATTAAAATGATTTCTACTTATGTTGCAATCCCCCAAATTAAAAATAAAAAAAATGAAAAATGAAAACATACACAGCTTGCACCCCATTTGGCAACTTCCTATATAGGTATAGGTGATGTTACTGTGCCTCACCACAGGACCCTGGGAAAACTCAGGATGTCAAATATTGGGACAGCATTCGTTCCATCTGACGAATGGTGTCTAATTCACATATTCATTCCATCAATTGAGGGTACTGTGATCACACCAATGACTAGCAATGACAGTACAGATTGCTGTCAGATCATGGAGGTAGTAGTCCTCAATTTGCCTAAAGCATTCTGGTATCCTATTTAAAAGGGTAATTTACAGGCAGTTAGAAAATAATATCTCCCGCAAATGTATTATATAACTGGAGAATCCTTTGTTTATTCACAAAAGGTTGAAGATTTTTTTACCATCTGTATCCAGAACCGTGCATGTGAGCAGCAGCTTTCCCAGGTCTCTTCCTTCTCATTGGCTGAGACACACAGTGGGTGCCACTGGCTCCTACTGCTGTTAATCACAGCCAGTGAGGAGGGAGCGGGGCCGAGCTGTGCTCTGTGTGCCTTATAGCTGCTTGCTCTGGGGGCACTCAGCAGGGGGGAGGGGGGGTTGGGGAGCGGAGAAGAAGAGGAAGATCCAGGTAAGTATCACTTTTAAGAAAAAAATCTGATAATTCTGAAATGGATGGCAGCAACACCTCTCAACACGTCATCCTTTTGCCACTCTATTTGTCCCCACTGCTACAGATTGGAGGCTAGCAAGCACACTGTACACACAGACATCACAAAGATGATGCGTCCATTCCATTCTATTCTAAGAAATTTACCTTTAGGTGCACATTTTTATTTAGTTATTTTGGTTTTTTTTTAAGAAATGTTATTTGATCATCATAGAACTGGACTCCAAAATTGGATACTTGGGATACTTCAGGAGTACCCTGAAAAATGTACCTTTTGTGTTAACTTGCTCCAGAAAACAGTAGTGCATTTCCTAGTATGTTGAGATGCCTAGGCATTGCTATGACTACAGACTCATAGCTGTATATATGCAGAGTGAGATCTAAGACACTGCTGCCTCTGACTGCTAGTCTCAGGAGATTTTAAATAAGATTTGTTGACGTTGCCCTTGTGCTGCTCACTCTTCTCTTTGCTGGAGGCTTTGACATGAGAAAGCAAAGCCCTGCCACCACCACAATGGCTGCCTCCATACAAAGACATGGACAAGGAGTGGTAAGCCAGTTACAGAGAAAGATCAGTATCTGAGACCACAGGGAATACTCTCTGCCATCAGCTTGCCACTTTTTTTTCTTTTGAGCACAGCTTAAAGAGTTCAGTTTGCTTCTTAAATAAAAAAAGCCTTTTTGTGATAAAAGGTTTCAAGAAGATGAATTAATCTTTACCAGTTTCTGTATACTGCACACACGTAGGAACATATTGCTGACTGTTCTATTACTTTTGATAGCATGGCCGACATTCCACATGCTCGCACACACGTTCATGTATGTACAAATAAATATGTATTGATGCACACACATCCTTATATACCTAGTTTGCCTTCAGACATTATATATTTAACTGACAAAATGTGCAAGAAAACTCTTCAAAACACATAGCATTTATTTGAAATTGTATATCAGGGCTTTTGCAGGAAGGAACGTTGCTCAAAAAAGCAAACCGCTATAGCGGTTGATGGAAGGCTACAAATTTGCCCTGTTATTTCTGAGAGGAAAATATATGTAGGCAATTTTCCTTCACTTAAGGGAACTATGTGTTTCGTACACACCTCTCAGGACTGAACAAACAAAAAGCACAATTCTGCAATCGAAGGCAATCAAGGAGATGTTTCCGGTGCAATTTAACCCTCAAGTAGTAGCTGCAGGTGGGCAAACTAGGAGGTCTACTGAATCAGGTAACAACAGCTGCCTAGAGAGATTATTTTCAGAGAACTGCTATAGCTCATACTAAGGAAAATATTTATAAAACTGAAATATACACCAATATATTGTACAGTAATATTTTCTACCCTTCAATACTATGAACGCACGCACATGGCTGACGCAGTCCGATCTCTACAATCCCAATTGCGCTCTCTGAGTCAGAGCTTCACCAGACATCAGCATGCATGCCAGGGCAGTTTTGTCACGTGATCAAGAAAAAACTGCCTTCGCCACAGACACAAATGTGTGTGTTTGAGATTCACGAATATGCCAACTTGCAGCCAACCAAAGGTATTCAATCTGTGTGGAGGAGCCTCAACCTTAAAACCACAAATATGGATCTTAATTAAACGTTTAACCTTATACTGCAGAAGCAGACAATGGATGTTTATTTCCATTCAACTATTAACCAGTATAATTGGATTGCTACTGATACGTTTCTAGAAAACCGCGGTAAACCAATCGTCCTCAATGTTCAGCTGTAATCAGTACGGATTATGCACTCATTTACAAAAGCGTTGAAACAAATTTGACCACTTCTTACAATACGGGCTAACAAACCATAACTAAACAACAGAAATCAGTAGCAACTGGTATGTTGAGAATTTATTTAATGTTTTTTTTTCTATTACAGGTAGTTCTATAGCGCTGAAAATGTATGTACATTTACATCAGTCTGTAATTACAGAAAAATGGTGAAGGAGTACTCCTAACCAGAACACAGTGATTTGTATTATGAATCAGTGTAACTGCCATTTCACCAAGAAAAAAAAAAAACAAAAACATTTGCAGACCTTTTTCCCAATCCAAGAAAACATTGCTTCTCTAGGAGAAACTTTGTCCTGTGGATCAGAGTGTCAGTTCGCCTAAATTTGACTTGGTGTTATAGTGGAGAGTTCAAGTTAATCTGTCAATTTAAAAAAAAAAAAAAAAAAAAAAGAAGGCAGTTCATTGCTCCAAAGAGTAGGGCCCTCCTAACCAGGGGCGGACTGATCATTTGGAAACTCGGGCACTGCCCAAGGGCCCAGGGTCAGTAGGAGGCCCCATGAGATGCCCCTGGTACCTTTTTCATAGGCTTTTTTGAGTTTGGGCAAGGACGCAGGGGCCCCATGATCCCCTATTGCCCGGGGGCCCCATGAGTTGTCAGTCCGCCCCTGCTCCTAACCCTCTTGTATTGAGCTGTATTGTTGCTGTATGGTCTCCTGTTATATTGTAAAGCGCTGAGCAAACTGTTGGCGTTATATAAATCCTGTATAATAATAATAATAATAATATTTGCTACAGTAGTTTTTACCCAAATGCTGGCTTGTTCTGATTAGGTCAAGTTCTGATACTTCCATATAGTTTTGAAACCTGCTTGCTTTGCCATTAATCACTATGATGGGCTTCCCACTGGCCAATAAGTGTGAAAGGGGTCAGGCAAATCAATCAATATCAGAAAGTGTTGGAACTTTACCTGATCAGAATTGCTACTGGGACATTGATAGATCAACAAAAGCCATTGCAGGTATGTGCAGACACTTTTAGGTTCCTATGCCTTAAACCTAGCTATAAGTTTAATTATTTCATTTTAATTAAGGGCGCATTCTGATCACTTGCAGTGAGATGTGTAAATCAGCACGCTTGCATTGAGATGTATAAATCAGCATACTCCCTTTGCAAAGACAGGCCAAATAGCATTATTTTAAAATGTTTCTTTTGATACCAATGCAACACTGGAAAAAAATTAATTTTAAATTTTGTACACAGAATGTTGTGATGCTTATGATGCAGTGTAAGATGGGTTCAAATATCTTTAGGTTCCTTTTGTGGGTAAGACAAACAGCATGGAGCATTTTTTTCAGTGCAGCAAATCCACTACTGTGTCTTGCAATGCAGGTTTGTTGAAGGTGCATTGCCATATTGCTGTGGGTTGCTATTCAGAATGATTGTAGCATGAATTAATCTATGTGTTACCATAATGCACCAGAGCAAAGAATGAAAAAAAAATTGCACTACTGTACACAAAAATATTCATGCAGTGATGTTAAAAATACATATCAGCATACATGTCTAGTATGTGTTTTCTCCTGCATTGTAGTGTAAACAAGACCTATACCACCTAGTTTGTTTTGTCTCCAAGGAATTCTGGTGTTGAAATCTTTGCGTTCACCAGCCTTGCAAATCTCATGCAGTCACCAAAAGGAAGACCCACTCTGTTGGGAATTTTAATTACAGAGAATGCAGCAGGAGGAAATGGAACATTTCAATGCAAGCAGGAATGACCAACGCTTCAAAGTGGTCAGGAACAGAGCAGTGGAGATCTCATTGTGGTCCAATATGATAAAAGAACCTTTCTGGTCCGTTTGCTTCATTAAGCTATATCAAAAACAGAAATATCATATATATTTTTATAGGCTGGCCCTTTGAGATCTTTCTAACTATACTGACATGTCTCTAACCAGTATTTGGTTACCAAGCTGGCAGTACACCAAGAACATGTTATTCCATCTTTTTAAAGTCACCAAAGCTTATCAGCAACCCATTAGCTAAACCTGAGATATTGATTTTAGAAAAAAATAAGTAAGAATATGTAATATAAAGTGACACTAAACTTTTTTTTTTTTTTCTATTTAGGAATGTATTCTTGACTCAAAAAAGTAACTTCTATTGCTCTCAGTCTGCTCCAAACTCCTTTTTTTTTGTTGCTTTCAGTTAGAGGGTAGCTATGTACATTCTCCATGGTCCTACTCTATGTGGGAACATAGCTATCCTCGCTTGCTTGCTGCCAAGATGGACTATGGGAATTTGAGGCGTGCATAGAGCAGTGCAAACAACCACAACCTATGTGGATCGCTTGTTCCAAACAAACTGAAGTGATATAGAAAAGGAGAAGTTCAGAAGCATTACGAGGAGGAAGAAAAACACAATTAGAAATGATTCTATAAAAAATAGATTACACAGCCATTAAGAGTGGACGTGTATAGATTATATTTTTGTAGAATAAAGGTA